GCGAAACGGCGGCTGCAGCCGCGCTCTCACGCTCCTCTGCCTCCCCATGGATATGCACTGCAAAGCAGACCCCTTCTCGCGATGCACCGTGAGTACCGGCGCCCGGCTTCTGTCCCAGCTCAGCTCGGGGCTCCCGTCCCAACCTGGCTCCATCCCGGCGCGGCCCCTGGCGCGGCCCGGTCCCTGGTGCTCAGGTCCCATCCTGTTAGGCCACACTGGCTTCTCCCAGTCTCCCCTTTCGTTCTTCCTCTCTCACTTCCCAGTGTTTCTAACGCCTTCCGTTTCTCTCCTGCTGCCTCCTGTCACCCATGCTTCTCCCTCTGCCTGCCTTCCTACCTTCCCTGGTGCCCGCCACCTACCTTCCTTCCTTCCTTCCTTCCTTCCTTCCTTCCTTCCTTCCACCTGCTCCTTGTTAAGTCGTAGGTCTACACCCCATCCCCACCAGAAACCCCAATTCCCTAGCCACCCTCTTATCCTGGGCTGGGGGACTAATGAGCTGGCTGTTTTCAGGGTTTGTGTTGTTTTCTCTATCTTCTGTCTCTTCCTCCCTTCGCCTCCCTCCCCTCATCTCCACCTTTCCCCAACTTGCAGTGTGGTTGTCCAGGATGAGACTTGGAGCATCAGCAGCCTCAGTGTCAGGACAATCAGGCAGAAGAGTATGGGGGTGGGGTGCCCCCTTCTGACCCTCAGCTCCCAGTATCTCCGGGCCGCCAGCCCAGCCAGGGCTTCTTATGGGCTGGTTTGAAATGCTTCCTTTTCTTTCCTCTCTCCCTTCCCTCTCTTTCCCCTTCTCTGCTCCTTGAGTTGGGAGTCTGAGACTGGCAGGATGTGGGGTCTTCTTTCTCCGCCCCACCCGGGAGATGCTCCAAAAACAAAGACAGGTTCCAAAGAGACATTGAAGTCCGCAGGAGCCGGAGTAGAGGAGCCTCCGGGAGGCACCTGGGCAGAGCCAGGTTCTGCTTCTAGTTCTGGAGGCTCCTTGCCCACCTCACACTCCCTGGTGAGGACGGTTTAGCCAGTGACCTAGCCAGGGTGTAGGCAAAGAGGGAGAAAATATGGGGGAAAGAACAAAAGGAAGGCAAATGCCAAAGCAGAGGAGGAAGGAGAGCGAAATCAAAACATGGGCAAGTGAATAAAAGAGAGAAAACAGAAAGGATGTGACAAAAAAAAAAGGAAAGAAAAAAAGAGGTGAGGAGCAAAAAAACCAAAACAAAATAAGAAAAGGGAATGATTTTAATTAAATTTGAATTTAATTCATGTCATATGTCTTTAGCTTGGAAAACAATTCAGAGATTTTTTTCCAGGCTTTTAAAAAAGATAAATGGATCCTAAATAAAAACATCTCCTCCTTTGTAGATTAATAATTAAGGATGATTTGTAACTTCACAGGGAAACTTTTTAGAACTAGCTTGATATATGTTTTGGATGAGAGAGCCCAGAGGAAGAGCTGAGTTTTTCTCTAAGCATACATTTAGCATTACAGGGAGGTGAGGGAGCTTTAAGAAATACCCCTCGGATAAAATACATTTTCCTAAATAATATCCAAGCACAGGAAACCCGAGCCAGGAGCCCTGAGCTGCGGCGAGTCTCCGCGAGCCAAGCCCGAAACCCAGGCTCCTTTCCTGCGAGAGGGAACCCGGGTCTGCGCGCGGGCTTCACCCAGCCCGCCCGCTTCTCGCCGCTGCCTCTGCCCCGGGTCTCCTCTCTGGCCGTTCCGAGGGGACCCGCCGAATCCCGGCCGCCCACGGGGGGCCACTTTGAAAGCTGAAGGGGAACAAGGCGAACTGAAGGTGATCGAAGGAAGGGAGAGACCGCGGCGCGGGCGGCGGACCGGCCCGCCAGCAGCCGCAGCCGGAGCCGGCGCCGGTGGCGGTGGCGCATTCCAGGCCCGACTCAGCGCCGGCTCCGACCCCCGGACCTGGACTCCCGCCGGGTCCCCTTCCATTCCCACCCCTTAGATTGGGGATGAGGGGCCGGGCCCAGAGCCCGGGAAGGCTGAATTATTCATCTTTAATCTGCCCGCAGCTGCCGCCTTTTCATACCGGTAACGCGAGTTCTCCCGGGGCCTAAATTATTGATGGTTGAGGTTTGGAGGGCGGGGAGGGGTGAGGCGTGGGGCTAGAGGTAGGGAGACCAGCGGAGGCGAGGGGGTGAAATAAGAGGTTCCGGCCTCCCCCAGCCTCCAGATCGGAGACCTCTCCCCGGGGGCATTGCCGCCGGCGCTCTGTATCCCCCCAGAAGGGGCCGGGAGAGGATCGAGCGGGACGCAGACGTCCCCGCTTTCTCCGAAAGTCGCCGGAGGCTAGTCTGGCAGGGGCAGCAGGTTGACCGCAGGGTCCGGCCCAGCCGGGCCGCTAGAAGTCTCTGGGCTTGGATTGATCAGTAACCGCGGCTGCGGCTGGATCGCTCTGGGCGCAGGATTGCTAGACTGCGTTAGGCCAGGGAGCACGGGGAGCCGGCGGTCAGCGCCCTCGGGCCTGGCACCCGGGAACCACCTGCGCTCCGAGGTCGGAAGCCCGAGCAGGACTTTGGTTGGAAAGTCAGCGCCCTCCTCCTGGCCAGGCGAGCGACCGCCCTGCTGCGGGGTGTCCGGTCGGCTGCCAGGTCTGAGAGGTCAGAAGGATGCGAGCTGGCCCGGCTGGCTGCGCAGGGTTCTCCGTGAGCCCTCAGCTCGCCCGGGCGACCTGTACCGGGCGACCAGGGCGAGGCGGTGGGCCCCGAGCCTGGCGCAGCGGCCACGGCCGAGCCATCGCCGCCTGCGCTCTCCCAGGCTCCTTCCCGGACACGCCGCTCACCGCTGCCGCCCCGTCTGAGCAAGGCCAACGCGGCCCCTGCTTCTAAAGCCTTCCCTCCTCCACCTGGCTTCCTTTGAACTTTAGACATTAGGGAGACGAGAGGATAGAAAACATAAAGGAAAGGAAAACTCGATTTAAAAAACCAGAAAACAAAAACACAGAGAAAGAGGTAGGAAAACTCCAATCCGATTAAAAATAAATACTAGGGAAAAGGCGAAGAGCCAAAGGGGGGTGTCAGGGACGTAGGGATGTCCCTGTGTTCAGAGCCCTTATGTACAGAGTCACCGGGTCTTAGAAAGCACTGGCCTCCGAGCACATCGCCCCACACACACCGACCACTCCATCTTGCCTGCGGCTCAGGCGGGGATCCCGCTCCACGCAGGTTCTGTCCTCTGTCCGGCCCTTCCTTTCTTCTGCATTCTTTCCTGCTGGCATTAATCCCCCCTCTGCTGTTTCCCCTTCTCCCCTCCTTTCTCTTGCCCTGCATCTCCATTCCTTTGCTCGCTTTCTCCCTTGTGTCTCACTGGTCTCTGAGCCCGCTCTTTCCCAGCCCTCCACCCAGCAAACATCTGCACCTCCGCATCTCTGCCAGCCCGCAGGTTCCAATCCCCAAGCCCCCGGCATTGTGGTCTTCTGGCCCCCATTCTCCCGAGACTCCGGGAACATGCCCCTCTGCCCTGCCTGCTCCTTTCCCAAGTCCTGGGCCGAGGACCCTGACTAATGGCCGATCCCTGCTGTATGTGGGGTGTTGTGTTTTTTCTTGTCTCTCCCCAGCAGGGCACGGGGGTGTGAACCAGCTTGGGGGGGTGTTTGTGAACGGCCGGCCCCTGCCCGACGTGGTGAGGCAGCGCATCGTGGAGCTCGCCCACCAAGGTGTGCGGCCCTGCGACATCTCCCGGCAGCTGCGGGTCAGCCACGGCTGTGTCAGCAAAATCCTGGGCAGGTGAGGGCCTCGGAGCTGCCCCAGGGAGGCACCCTGCCTCCTTCCCCTATCGGCCCTGGGTCTCCAGCCCGGGGACTTGGCTAAAAGTTGAGGATGCCAGCGGGAGAGGGACCTGCCCCACTGGGGGTATCTGGAGAGCTGCCCCTTTTGGAGAGGGCGCTCAGGTGGTGGCTGCAGCCCCAGGAGCAAGGGTGGAGCAGGGTCATCCAGCGCCTGCCCGGCTCCAGGGTCCTGGAGGAGAGGCAACCTGATTCCCATCTTCAAGAAGGGGGACGGGGATGCCTCTTCTAGCAGAGTTATATGGACTGGGGGACTGAGGTATAGGGGGGAGGGGAAACGGACCCCCAAGAGGAGAAAAACAAGCCTTGGGGAAGTGGAAGGAGGATCTTGGTTCCCACAGGGGCTCCGCTCTAGGTGGGAAAGGGCTGGAGATGGTGCCTTAGCCCTGGTCTGCCTTGGGGGCCTGGAAGCTCTTCCCAAATGAAAGGTTGGACTTTCACTGCCAGGGGCACCTTTTCGGGCTCCCTTCCTGGAGGGAGTGTCCCCTTGTCCACCCTCTCATCTTCCGTTGAGTCCCCCGCCCTAGCCAAGCGCCCTCTCAGCCATGCTGGGCCTTTCCCCCTGTGCCGCTGCTCTGGGCAGGAGAGTGGCTCAGCGTCTGTGGAACCTACAGCCCCCCTGCCCCTGCCACTACTGATTCTCGCTGACCCGCCGGCCTTCCCGGCGCAGGTACTACGAGACTGGCAGCATCAAGCCTGGAGTGATAGGCGGTTCCAAGCCCAAAGTGGCAACGCCCAAAGTGGTGGATAAGATTGCTGAATACAAGCGACAGAACCCAACTATGTTCGCCTGGGAAATCCGCGACCGGCTGCTGGCCGAGGGCATCTGCGACAATGACACAGTGCCCAGCGTCTCTTCCATCAACAGGTGAGCAAGCCACCCTGGGCTGCAGAGCAGGACTCCAGCTCCCACCTCCTGCCTGCCAGGGCACCCCAGCACTCCATCTTGGGATCTTGGTTCTTTCTTCAGCCTCTGCCCTTCCTCCCTACTCCCAGCCCCAAAGTATTTTGGGCTGAGAGAGGGGATCTAGGAGGCAGAGAGATAGACAGACAGACTGAGCTATCTCCAGCTTAGGGCTGAGTATTCCCTGCCAGGCTTCTCCCGCTGGCGTCCTGGAAATGAATCCAAGTGTTTGTGGTAATTAAGACTCCAAGATTACTCGCCTCGGTATCTAGAGACAATCACAGCCCACAGCCAAAGCCTTTAAAATGACCAGTGTCTATTCATCGCCTCCAAACAGACTTCCCTTTCTAAAGGCATACTCCCTTCCCCAGGGACAGCAGCCTGTCCTGGCTCCCCCATCCTCCCTGCCAACTCCCACAAAGCTTGCCTCCCCGGAGCCCAGGCCTTGCTAGCCAGCTTCGCACAAATTTCCGGCCTACAAGCAGGAGTGTCCAGGCCTTCGGAGCAGATGCCAACCACTAGCCAGCAATTGGCAGGGACTAGAGAAGGTGGACAAGGAGTGGGAGATCAGTCAGGGAGGGAGAACTCTGGATTCTGAGGCTGAACCTGAGGAGATGCCTCTAACCACCTGGAGTGCCTGTGTCCAGGCCTAAGAGTGCACTGTTGACAGGCTCAGGCACATGGGGACGACACAGGCTTGAATCAGCTTGATGTGTAATAGCAGAAGTTAGTTAGTCTCCCAATCTCCAAGCCACTCCAGCATGTGCATACTCAATCCATGTATGCCAGTGTGCAAATGTGTCTATCTGTGATGGGTACAGCACATGTAAGCAGTAGTTGGACATAGGATGGCTTCAACATCACAGAACTGTACAACCTGGCACTAACAGAGACCCTGTACATGTTCCAGATGACCTTGGCCAGCCTTTCAACCCATGCCCCCCATTGTAAGGCAAATCCCCAGATGAGATGAGGGTTAAGGGTTTCATACCCTTGTTATTCTTTGCCCTTTTCACAGGCTCATTTTCAGGGTAATAAAGGCACTATCTAATAATTTAGAAGCTGGCATCACATATCAAGGTGGTTTTTAAAAATATTTTGTAAATGATATGGAATTATCCCAAATCATCCTGAAAACAGCAGGTAAAATTAGCTGGTAGAATGTACCTTGGCTAAAGAAGATTCCCTCTGCCACACTCATGCTGTAACGTACTGCAAGGCGACCCCAGAAATTATCCCAGTGTGTGCCATCTGTATTAAAATGGTTATTCAGTTATGAACAGGGTAACATAATACTGATCAGCTAATTATACACCCTCCGAAAACCCTCAAGCTCCCTGGGCCTGGCTCAGCTAGGTATTGAAAGCATAGCAGTTTGACATTCAGACACCTTCTGAAGAAGCTGGAGAAAGATGCTGGGTGGTTCCAGAGAGGAATGAGTCTTTTGCATTTAAAAGCCAGAGAAGGCTGGGGCTGAGGCAGGAGTAGTGGCTAGGGAAGGAAAGGAGACAAAGCATTGTTTTCCCAGCCATCTGGAGATTTAGTCTCTTGGCTGGTTGCTGGTGCTTGGAGTGAGCTGGAATTGGGGTCTTGGGAGGAGAGCAGCCCTGCTGAGGAGCAGTGGTGCTGGGTCTGGGTGCTTGTGTTCTGGAGAACAGTAGAGAGAAATGCCGCCGTCAGTGATAGGATTTGCTTTTGAGGAATCCAAACCTATGGTGAAGGCAGTTTGCTTCCCTTGATGGGCGGAGGATTAGAGCAATCAAGGCAGGCATGGGGGCAGCACCCCTTATCTAGCATCCCTTGCCCCCTCACCCCAACATATACTCCTCACTGACTAAGATGATTTTAGAAGCTGGCTTAGGTAAAAGTTTGGGAATACTCTCATCCTGAAAAGCCATGGAAAACAGGGGACAGGTGACCCTAGGATCAAGCTCCAAAGAACTTAAGGTGCATCTGTCAGAATTGGGAGAAAGTAGAGAAGTGAGTCTTGGTTGAAATAAGAGTGTGAGAAAGGAGCAGCCTCAGCTTGACAGCTCTGACAGCGGCAGAATCTGCTCAGTATGGAGCCCTGTCATCTGAGGGGCACGGAGGCTGTCTTTGGGTGTGGAGAAATAGCCGTCTGTGGGCAGGTGTTGCTGTAGATGGAGACAGAGTGGGAGGAGAGGAACGGGGAAGCTCTGGGTCTAAGTTAGGCTTCCCGCTTGCTTTGTCAACAAGGAGCTGTGAGGGTATTCTCGATTTGGTTTTGGGACAGAATCCTATCATGATTAATATTTTGGAAAGAATTCTGGGAACTTCCCAGTGTGCTACTGAGTCGGGGCTGGAGGGATGCATCTGGGCCCCATGCCTTTAGCTTCAGCCCTGTAGGTGCTTTGTTCTGAAGGGGAGAAAGTTATCTGAGATGTGTTCTTTCACCCTAAAGCCTGAGAAAGGCAGGTGTTTCTTCTGGTCTGGTGATGTCAGGGCCTTTGTGAATTCTCAGTCTCTGCGGAAAGAGCCTGGAGATTTCACCCTGTGCAGAAAGTGCAGTGTCTTGGGGAACAGGTAGTGCTTGAGTTGAGAGCTTTACTATTGGTGAGATGCCAACTCGTGTTGGGTACTTTATAACCATTATGAGTAAGGGTGTGCATGTGCCCGTGGTTGGCAAGAAAGGAAGTCCACACATGCTCACCCACCTGAGCCAAATCGTAAGGTTTTTCATATTCTTCTCCTCAAAACAGATGCTGTCGCCGCACTTGAAATATGCTGTTATGGTTATAAACTAAATTGCTTCTCATGCTTTCAAAATGGTTCTGACTTTCTCTGATCCTGTCGTGATAAAGGTTTGGACAGCCAACCCACTTTCTCCATTGGCAAGTCTTCATAGAAATACTTCTCTTAGCCAATGGAGAAGGTCAAGGAGGCCTCCCACCCCAGCCCCCACCCCCAGCCCCAGCCCCAGCCCCAGAAACCACTGTCAAAATTCTGGAGGGTTGATGAATTGTTTAGTATGTGAATCATTTCTTAGCGCCTGAATCATTCTCAATATTGGGTGACTGATCACTGAGCATGGAGTTGCCAGTTCTTCGGCTTGTGTACTGCCACTGCAGAGGGTGGGTGTTTATAAGCAGGTGACTTGAGATTAAAACCTGGGGTGGGAAGTGCCTGGAGAGGGAAAGAGTTGGAGGGAGATCCATGCCGCTGAAAGGGGAAAAAGTCACCTAGTTACATCGCAATTGACTAGGAAGGAAGGATTTTCCTGATTGTGCGCCAAAGCCTTCTGGTTCGGCTGTTGCTCTGGGCAGAGAATACGGCTCCTTTGAAAGAACAGGCACAAACTCCAGGTAGCATCTAGGGTTACTGAAGATCCCCTGAGGGCAATCTCTTGGAATGAGCTGACAGGAGGCCATCACTCTCCTAACTTTTTCAGCCCTACATTCTTTGGGACCAGGGCACTCCTGCCCCTAGGTCTTTGGCATGGACTCTTCCAGGGTCCATTTTTTCACTGATCACCTGCTACCCACACTCTCTCAGCCTGTTTGGCCCTAAGTGAGTACATTCATTCTCATAGCAGGGGCAATACTGGCTTCAAGAAGGCTATAGACCCAGTGCTATGTCGTTCACAGGTCTTCAGCAGAGCTCTGGCAGTGGGGTGACAGTGGTCTACCAGCTGTCCATTCAAAGACCTTTCTAAATAAGCTGGGGGCCACTCATCCTAGCCAAGGGACTGCTGAGGACATGGTCAGGTTTCTAGAACTCAGGTTTCTAGAACATTGCACGTTTGACTCTTGGACCTGGTTTGGCATGAAGCCAGGCAAGAGGTGCAGCTTTTCCTGCCACATCTCCATACCCTTGCAGCTGTTTGGTGGTCAGGGTTGTTGGTCTCATGGCAAAGAGCCAAGGCAAGTTGATGGGCTAAGAAGAAGACCTTCCCACAAAGGAATGAGAAAAATATGGACAGAGAACTTGCCTTCTTGGCCCCTGGCCTACCAGACTGGGTCACAAATAGCAAGCACACATGTCAGTTTCTGTCTGAGAAGCCTGGCTCGCCTGACCCTCCCCAGAGAGGGTCTCCTGTTGCTGAGATCACCCATCATTAGGGTATCACATGTTACAGTCATGACTATTGGTCCTCTTATTCCTTAAAATGAACTGGCATTGTCCTTCCAAAAAGCCATTTTTGTTCTCTTAGTTATTTCAGACTTCTTGGCCGGCAGTCATATTGGTCTGTTTCCCTGGTGGCTGGCTCAGAGTGGGCGTTCAGGCCACAAAGTGACTTTCAGGTGAGAGCAATGGCTGGTTGCCCTGAGTTCTTACCTCAGCTGGCAACTCTTAGGAAGAGGCAGACAGGAAGGGTTGTGAAAGCTCCAAGTGGATTTTGGAGGGTGATGCAAAGAAGAAAAGAAAGGGAAACCCCTAAATAAATAAATAGTGTCCCAACTATTCTGAGAACTCAATAAAACAATCACATCAAAATGAAGAGGCATAAATCTTGTGTCTACACAGGTAACCCATTCAATTGCTTTTATTATCGCTCAGGCTGCTTCCATTTATAACCGTCCACAGCCTGGGCCATGGAGGTTGCATAGAGGGTGGTCTCCAGTGCAATCCTACACTCTGAGAGGCAACAATCAGCCCATACAGGCAGGGATTTCGATGGGAGCTCGGGAAGGGCCCATCTGTCTGCATGAAAACCAATCAATAACTCTGTAACCAGAGCCCTGTCACAGGGAAATGGACAACACAACAGTTCAATACAGGGGCCACAGGGGGAACTAGCCAAGTGGAGATGGGGCCAGGCAGGAGCAGCCCCTGGAGAAAGGAAACAGGGTGCAGGAGTATTGGGGAGAGAGTGGGGTGTGGCCGGGGAGAGCATTGGCTTTGTGAGTATATGGGTACAAGGGGAAGATTATTGTGCAAAGCAGATCAGGAAATGAAAGGCACTGTTGGAAGTTGGGGTGGAAGGGAACAGTTGGGAAAGGGGCTTGTTCTTGTACACATGGGATCACGTGGTTGTTTATGTGATGATAGGTGCTTGTGGACTAGGTACAGCTTCCAGAGAAAGAGCAGTGATAGTAGTAACTGGTGCAGAAGATAAATCGACCCACCCACCCACCAGCACCAAGAGCTTGTACTCTGAAGAGTCGGTTTCTTATGAGTTCACATGGAATGGAAGTCCTGCTTCTCAGTCTTCTCAGCAGGACTGATAAAGGAACACCTTAAGCCAGGGGCACTATTGTCTGCTCCCAGCTTCCTCGATTTTACATTCTAGCTATGCTGCAACTTTGCCTCTTACTGCTCAGGCCTGTCCTGAGTCCCTCTTTGTTGCTACCTAGAGTTGGAAGTTTGAGTTCTTATAGTAAAAGGAAACAGAATACTGGAAAGAATTGTTTTCACTTCCTGCTCTTTATTTTTTTAATATGTTTTTATTGAACTTCAGAGGGAAGAGAGAGAGAGCTAGAAATATCAGTGATGAGAGAGAATCATTGATCGGCTGCCTCCTGCATGCCCTACACTGGGGATCGAGCCCACAACCCAGGCATGTGCCCTGACCAGGAATCGAACCCATGATCTCCCGGTTCATAGGTCAGTGCTCAACCACTGAGCCATGCCAGCTAGGCTCTTCCTGCTCTTTAAAAGAATGCAGTAAAGGGTGCTAATCTGGCCTGTGCCTCCTTCCTTCCTGCTTACAGCAGGTGTCCAGAGTTGAGATCCTGGCAGGGGAAGCAGTTACAGCTATGGACAGTGCAGCTCACCCAGTTATGTGGGTGAGTCTAGAGGAGAGAGAAGGGACCCTGACAGATCTGAGGAGTGGGAAACAGTCTCACAACCAATGCACAAATAGCTAGTTAAATATTAAACAGGTGGGAACTTCAATCACCTTGGCTTTATCTGTCTACCAGTCAACTACAGGGTGGAGATGTTCCCTCCTGCTGACAGGTTGGTTTGGTGCTGTAAAGGTGCCATTTGAATGTATTCATAATGGTTTCTAGGCATAGAGGTTGATATCTGGGGGGATGGTGTGTACACCAACCAGTATCTGCTCTCTGGTGAAAGAGTTCTAAGAGGAAAAGGAAGAAGGCCCATTGGATGTGACCCTCGGTCATAAAGTCTGGACACCTTGTCCTTGGGTCCATGGGCCTATCAGGTCAACTAGGGAGGCAGTCCTAAGGCCACCGAGTGATTATAGGGCTGGGCCAAAGATTCTTCATTACAGAATTGGGGCAAACTAGGGCCAAATTTTCCTTTGTTTTGCGCTGTAACACTCCATAGCCCAGTAGCCCCCACTAAGAGGGGATTTGCTACAGTGATGCCACCCTTGTGATGGAGAGCTGTGTGATCAGCTGTCCATCTTCACTTAGACACTTGAGTCCCAGTCCAGTTGGCAGGACTAGTTAGGGACCAACTGGGTAAGCAGCCAAAAGACGTTCTTCCCGGTGGGTCCCCTTCCTGCAGAGGTGCGGTGCAGTGACCCACCAAGGTTGTAGGTGCCCCAGCAGCAGGCATGGCAGCAGCACGGGGACACAGTCATTGGCAGAGTTCTCCCAAGGGCCAGGTCCCAGTTCCAGCCTCCAAACCCTTCCCCACTAATCCATGTGCCAGGGAAATAAGGAGAAACTGTGTGCGAGAAATGCAGAGCTACGACTGGAGAAGGCTTGGAGACCAGGTGGGGCATCATGGCAGAGGCAGATGCCTGGGGCCCCCTGGGGAGGGCTGTGCACAGGGGAGCTTTTGGGGGTGTGAGAAACAAGAGGAGAATGACCTGGCACTGGAGGAGGAGGAGCAAAGCCCCGTGTAGACCTGGAAACTCTCAAGGAGGGAGGGAGGGAGCCAGGAGAGCCGGGTTCTTCTTGTAGCTCATCCTCAAAAACAACTGGACTCTTTCTTTTGGGTTTTAGGAGCTATTATGATAAGGAGATAGTTTGTGTTTCTCATGTGTGTGTGTGAGAGAGAAACGAAGAGTCCTTGGCATTCTAGAGAGGTCAGGTCTAGTCTAGGAATATGGGGGGAGAAAAGTAGTGCCCAGAAGTGCAGATTGGCAAGAAATGTGTTAGTGGAGGGCAGTGATGGAGATGCCGTGTGGCTGTAGGGGTCAGGAGTACAGATGCCTCCAGTGCCCGTGGCAGGAAAGGACAGTGGGAACGGCCACAGGAGATGAGACAGAGGTGGTGAGAGTTGGACAAACGGAAGCTGGAGTGCACAGGCCCAGTCTACAGGCAAAAGATTTTTTTAAAAAAAAACTTCGTGCTGGCCAAATAAAACACATCGCCAGGCCTGATTCAGTTCATGGGCCAGCGGTCTGCAGCCCCTGGTCTGCGGAACTGCACATACCTTAGCTCGCCGCTTCAGACCAGAGCAGTAACCTCAGTACAGGTGCAGGGGAATGTGACATTTCCTGAGCTCCTTAGCCCAGAGCCCCCGAGGAAGGGCGGTGAGGAAGGGTGTGTACTTTCTCTAGCTGGGGGAGAAGAGGGCAAGGTGTAGATGGAAAGGGATGGACAAAAGGAAGACTGAGGACTGGAAGAGGAGATGAAGCTGAGAGGGAAAAGGGAGAGGTCTCGGACCTGGCTCAGCCTGGACAGGTGTGTTGGAAATGGAGGGTATGGTGAGAGTGCAGAGCAGGGAGCGACAGAAGCTTAAAAAGGAGAACTAGATCTGTGCATCTGAGCCAAGGGCCTCTGGTAGCCCTGCAAGGTCTTGGAGGTGGTGGGAGGGAGCCAGAGCTCTGGTGGCTGGTTGGCCAGGTTGAAGGGAACTGAGGAGGCTCAGAGGTGGTAAAGGAGGAAAGAGGAGGCCAGCCCTGGAGGAGAAAGCAGGCAGAGCAAAGGAAGTGGCATGGGAGGGCAAAGTCACAAGACCTGGAGTTCCCGGCTGCCTGCATCGGGCAGCACACTGCAGGGCAGGCTGGTAGGGGCTGTGGGGCTGCTGCAGTGATGCTCCAGCCTGGTCCCTGGAAGGAGGGTGGGTGGGAGAGAGGCCAAGAGGAAGGGAGGTCCTGGCCTCCTGGATGTTCTACACTAGAGCCCCTTCCACCCAGGAGCCTCGGGCTACTTTGCTCTGGACTTCCTGCTCTGCCTGCCATCAGCTTTGCCTGAGCGTCTGTCTGCAGTGAGCTCTCTCTGCAGCCATCCAGGAACAGAGGAAGCCAGAGGACATGACCGACAGCTCCTGGCAGCTTCTGGCAGCTCTTGGCAGCTCCTGGAAGGAGGAGAAAGGCTGTGAGACTGGGCAACAGGCTGAAAAGGAAACTGTACCCACCTTGTAGGCTCCATAAGGTCAAGAAATCAGAAAGAGGAAGGGTTCAGAGGGGAGGAGAGCAGGAAGGGAGATCAACAGAGGCTCTAGAGCAGTGGTTCTCAACCTTCTGGCCCTTTAAAATACAGTTCCTCATGTTGTGACCCAACCATAAAATTATTTTCATTGCTACTTCATAACTGTAATGTTGCTGCTGTTATGAATCGTAATGTAAATATCTGATATGCAGGATGGTCTTAGGCGACCCCTGTGAAAGGATCGTTCGACCACCAAAGGGGTTGCAACCCACAGGTTGAGAATTGCTGCTCTAGAGTGAGCAAATGTGAGCACTGGATCAGCTTTCCCTGGTCCTGCTGCTTCCTCTGGGCCCCAGGGTCTTTGCTGGGCTGATGAAGGAGGCCGAAGGAAGTCTGGAGCCTCGTGTGACAGTATCCAGCTTAACAGGTCACAGAGATGGTCAGGGAGGAGAGCCCCTTATCCTGTGACCTCTCAAACTAATTCAAGAGGACAAGATGGTGTCTGCCTTGTGTGTCGTACCAGGAAAAGTTGGTGACTATGTGTTGGGGGCCTCTGTGTAGCTCTGTTTTGGAAAGAGTGTGTGGGCTCCTGGTATCTAGCTGAGCATGGCATTCGTGCCCGGGAAGCCATCTAAATGGCCCTGGCATTACAGGGAGCTTTTAAAGGGAGTTGGTCCTGTTGAACAGTCTGTCCTGAATAGTGAGCCAGTGGCTCACTGTTCAGAGGGTTTCCAGTTGAAGGGATTGTTTGGTCCCAGGACAAAAGTCTCTGCCATCACTTGGAAGGCCTGCCTGTTTGGGGTGTTAGTAAATGTGATTGGGAGAGTGTGGGGTTGAATGGATGGTAGTTGTCCTGCTGGGTTGGTGGGTGGGGGCTCTGTCAGGTACACAGAGGATCCTGGCACGTTTAGTCTGTGAGCATGTACACATACATTTATTGTGCTAGAGGCAAGGGTGTAGAGTTATGTGTGATGCCAGGGTGGTGTGTGTGAGTAACACGCTACTAGGAAAACAGGTAGCAACTGCTTGTTTGTGTTTGCTGAGGTCCTCAGAGGGAGTGTGCATGTAGAAGGGGACAAAGACCAAGCTATTTATGGCTTTTTATCATCTGCAGTGAGGATACCTCCTTTCCCTCCCCCCATCCTGTATGTTTTCCTTCCTCTCTGCCCTCCTCATCATCACTCTGATTAGCTGGTTTGGGTTAGGAGGCCAATCTCAGTAGACTCTAATTGAAGATTGAAGAGAATTTGATAAGATAGGGAAGGCCATCATTCCTCTGGGGACCAATAGAGGTTTCATGTTCCCCTACTCCGCTCTGCCTCCCTAAGGAGCTGACACCAGGGCAGGCGGCCTTCACTGACTGTAGCTGTCTGGCCTCTGGGAGAGCCAGAGAAAAGGAAGTATTCCCCAGGGTGGAGAGTTGGGTTCCTTCCCCAGTCGCCATGGGCCTGGAAGGAACAGTATAAGGGACAAGACAGGGAAAAAGGGTAGAAGAGAGATGGCCAAAGACAGGAGAAGTGAGAGCCAGATGTAATTGACACTGACAACCCTAGCAGAAACCTGATTTCTGTTCACAGAAATGCACTGGGTGTGTATATTAGGAAGAGAATCTTTATTATTATTATTATTATTATTATTATTATTATTATTATTGAAGAGATTCTGAAGCCTTTAAGCCAGTCTGCTGGGCAGAACACTCAACTATTTGCAGAGGGTACTGCCTTGGTTCAGGTCCAGCTCCTCCTAGAAGTAGTGTTCACCTCACTCTTATGCCCACTGCCCTCCCACCCCTGCGCTTATTACGCACCTCTTTCCCTGTTCTCACTTCCCCTAAACTTGGCTCTGAGGACCAGCTAATTCCTGGCTCCAGGAGACAGCCTGGAGGGCAGCACAGACTACTTAGGAGATGACCTCCCAGGGTGGGTGCAAAGAAAGTTGAGAGAAATTCATTTCATGGACAGTGGCTGCTTATAAAAGGCGATTCCAGCATACGAATGTGATAAATGTTAACTGAGCATTAATCGCATTAAAGAGGATCCTATAAACTTTTCATTTCTAATTAAATTCATCCAGTGATGCTGCCCAAGCGAGTACTCTGGGCCCTTGTTTATGTGGAAAATTAAAATGCAAATACAATGGAATTTATTTCCAGGAGTGGAGTGATGGGCTAGCCCCCTCTGGCTACTGGTCTCCAGCCTTGTCAGGCCAGGTGACTGCTTCTTTGGAGGTGCTGTACCCCTTGGGACACATTCCAGTGTGAAGGAAGAGGCCAGAGTTCAAGGTCAAATAGAGTGGAAAGACTTGAAGAGAAAGAAAAAAAGGCAATAGATGACCCAGAAATATAGGGAGGCATTGTCCTGGTTTCCTATACTCCAAATCACACTTCTAGGAGAAGAAACCCCCAAAACCTCGCTTGTGAACAATGTCATCACAGTTTCCTCTGCAGCTCTGGGATGAAGGGTGTGCATGGGAGGAAGAGCTATTGCAGGCGGCAGCCAGGCCAGATATAATGGGCCTGGTCCTAAAAGAACTGAGTGGTCAGCAGCAGGGAGGGCCCGGGGCCTGGACTTACCTCCAGCAGTTTGAGGGTCAGCTTCTGTCCATATTATGGTTTCACCGGGCTCTTCCTGCCGGTGCCAAGTGGCATTGACACAGGGCAATGGAGCATAGTGGCACACACTGAGCACGCTGTGCATGCACGCCCACACGCACACGGCCTTCTCACACGCAGGGAGAGCCGGTCTCTCATAAGAATAAACAAATGTCCCTTGCAAAGATCCTTTAGTGCCACGGCCCCTTTGATAAAAGTGATAACCCTAAATACTATTGAATGGAGCGATCTAAAGGTCCTATTTACTAAAACATAAATTAAGTCGAGTGGAGAGAAAACCTGGGTAAGAAAAATCATTTGGGTATATCAGTAGAGACACTGAAGGATTGCTGTGCTGCTCTATGGATAAGGAAGCTGTAAATAGCATTAAAAAGTAGAGAGGGAAAGAAAATGGAAGTAGGAGAGATGATAAAAGGCACAGCACTAAATCACAAATAGAGGTACCTGTACAAAGTCACAAACCAGATTTATGCCCAGCTTTGCAAAATCTGCAGCTTGAACTGTTGATACGTAGAGACACTAAGTGCACAGGCATGTGGGCATCAGAGTGCCTACGTGTTTATGTGAATTGAAGACAGTAGGGATGAAGCTGTGTCAGTCGTGGGCTGTCTATACCAGATGCTGGGACTGATCCATCAGCTCCGTCGTGCTGGGATCTGATTGGGTCCAATTCCGGCGTAAACAGTCAAGGATGCAGCCTTATAAGGTTTTTAAAGGTCTTTAAGCACACGAGTCTCTTGTGAGCTGGATCCGTGTTCTAATGGATCTCCAAGGCAGCAACCCATTCCCAGAATGGAGTCTGCTTGACTAGTTTTGTCGAATAGCTGCTACCCTGTCCTCTTTAGTCTATTTTATTCTGTGTGTTTTTTTTCTTTACTGTTCACTTATGTCTCTTGGAAAACCATGAGCACTTGCTGATGAACAGGTTAACTCCCAAACATATGGATGAAAACCAAAACCTTTCATCAGTCATCTAATAAATGTTGTCGATATGATGTCAAGTATCTGGCGATTTGGAGATGTCTAAGTAATGGATTGAAATTCTTAGTTTTTATCCAGGCACAGAATTAACACCTATCTGCATTTCATTGGTGTTTTGTTTCATTGGGAAACACCTGTCTGCAGAGGAAAATACTCTAAGAAACAAAGTGTTGTGGTTAGAAAGCATCTTTGATGCATTTGAGTCTCATTTCTGATTTGAAGGGGGACTGGGCTTGGCCTGAAAGTCAGTGGAGATCTGGAGCTTAGAGCATTTAGTATTTGAACAAGCACAGCTGGTGGACACTGCCACCTGAAAGTTGGTTGGGAGGGCCAATCGCTTGGTCCAAATACACCTAAGCTGTCGATTAGGCCTGGCTTCCATAAGGGAATCCACTTCGCCATATTGAAAGAGAATATCAGGGATCTTAGTAGATACTGTCTTTTATTCATTTATTCTTTCATTCATCCATTCAGAAAACCTTTGCTAAGCACCTGCTATGTGTGAGGCAATTCACATAAACCTATGGTATAGAAAACATAGGAAAGCAGGCTCTGGAGAGAATTGCCAGAGTTTGAATCTAGCTTCCTTACTCACTAGCTGCACGGTTGGAGGTAAATCTCATATCCTCTCTGGACCTCAGTTTCCTCACTCATCTGACATGGGGATAATTATACAGCTCTTTTATAGGTTCTCATGAGGGTTATATGGGTTAGTCCACATAAACCTGCTTGGCATTGCACCTGGAGATAGCAAGTGCTCGGTCAACGCTAGTTATTACTACGGCAACAGCAGTCATCAAGTATATATTTCCTGTTTTGTGTCTATGTCAACGTGTATGAGTTCTGGCTTTAGTGTGCACAAACACTGAAATTTTTAAAATAAAAATGCTTGAGGAGCCAAAAGGATATTGTGTGGACAGAACTGTGTATATGAATGCCAGTGAGAATTGTGGGCTGCTATGAGCCCCACTAGATTTAGGAAGGGGGCCCGCTCTGTGTACATCCAGGAAAAACAAACAACTCTATAACTCAGTTATCTAACCATTGAACAGAATTAGTTACATAATTTTCCCCTTTGTCCATTTTGAGAGCCCTGCCTGCGTGTGTGTGTGTGTGTGTGTGTGTGTGTGTGTGTGTGTGTCAACGTCGCATCTTCGTATGACTGCACATTCCTTCTCTGTGATGAGTCTACTATTGTTTGAGGAGTTGAAGGTTGGCATTTTCTGGGCTTCACGGCATTTTCATGTGTTGTGGTGCTTTGCATTTTGCAGGTTTTTTTAAAGATAAAATGAAACGGTAATGGAAAAAAATTCCTTACTTGATAGGTTTGAAGGATTCCTCTGATTCTTAAATA